CATTCCCYCCAGTTCAGTTGTGAGCTGCCAGGCTTGTGCTTGTAAAAGATACTTATTGGTGAAATATTTGTAACTGGAAAGAAGATCTAGCCTTGATTTTGTTCTTTCATCTCCCCATGCAGCAAGCCATCTTGTATCCACAAAGTAYCCTCTGAAATGAAGATAGCTGCAGTATCCACTCATCTGTCRTGTATTTCCATGGCTCAACACACATTGGTACTTTAGACTCCAATTACAGGAGATTATATAGAGTCAATCCTTTCTCACCTATTGTCATAAAAATTAATTAAGAAATTATTCAACAGAACATTTCAATTAATGTAGTGGATAAACCTTTAGCAGTTACACAGTTACAGAAAACTGTTCAAACTTAGTAACAATACTCCTATTGCTGTGTTTAAAGAAAAATGTCAGGAAGGCTAYCACTTTTCAGAAATTAAGAACTGTGGCTGCAGAAGCAAATGCTTCTCAGCATTTGACTGAGCAAGTGATAGAATATAATTTGGGCACTAAAGAAAAAAAAATACTACATACTGTTAAGGTCTAATTTGCAACTCTGACTTCCTTGTCAGTGTGAGTAGTATTAAGCCAGTAAGACTTAGTAAGACAATGCAGTCAGAAACAAGAGCTTAGGAGAAACACACCCAAGAGTACAACAGAGAAGCAGGGATATAAAGCTAATCTTCATTATATGCAAAGCCACTACCAAAATTAACTACTACTCAAGGCATGAACTGACTAGGACTGGCCTATTCTCTCCYTTGAAAAATCAACTGGCATCATTTCCAGTACCTASCATTAAGACCACATTGGCAAACACATCTTAAAACCTCTATTTGGATCTACCCCCACCCAGTCCTCTCAAAGATTTGTTTCATCAATACAGACTTTAACTATATGGGGAAGGGGAAAACACTTGTAAATTACTCCATTTATGTTATAAAGGTACACATTTCTGAACCATATTTTGTTTGGCGATTTTTTATCTACCTCTAAAAAGAGTGCCACTTCTACAGTCCAGTATCACTATGAGGAGAAAAGTATTTTCTTGTTTCAAAGTACAAAGCAAAACTACAATTCTCTCTAAAGCTACCAGGCATCAAGAAGAATAAATTGCTAAAAACACCAGCCCTTAACACGGGTTTAACTCCTCCCATACTGGTGTAATTGACTCATGCAGCAGAAAGYATACAGTAACTTTTCCAGAGCAGGAGTGGTATTCACCAGAGTCTTGGCATATGGAACTTTTTAGCCCAAATGCCACTTAAAGACTATTCATCCCACAATAATAGATTCAGTTTTTATGTCCAAAAAAGCAAGCTGCATATGAGGAGATATTCACCATCTCTGTGCACATTTAAAGGAGGRGAGAACAAAAGACTCCTTTTAAAGCTGATGGAGGAGAGTGGTATAAATTAAGTATCCAAACTCAATAACAGAACAAAGAGATTATTCCATTCAAATCAGAAACTAATTAATCACTTATGCAAAGATGATTCCTAACAGATAAAAGCAAGAAAGACATTTATGATGTGCTTTTGTTATTACAAAGTTGCTTTCTGTCTGATTAATCACTCTTCTCCCAGGCCCTCCTATGCACACACCCTAATGGGGTTTATCCTCTTTCTCAGAGCATATGGCCACAGTTCCCACAATATGGCAAATGATCCCTGAGGAAATTGCTGTACACTGAATTAGGATATTCTAGCTCAAAAAGAAAAAAAAATATATATTATTTGTAAAACACCATTCACTACTTTCTATTACTCATTGTTAGATAAGACCTAGAAAGCTGTAGTGAAAAGTCTTATTCTCTCGAGATCTTCAAGCCTATTCTAGTTTTCATTCATTTGTTACTCTGTTTGAGTTAGGTAGAGCTCAGATGATCTGCTCTTTTGACCATTTCTTTCAGTGTCAATATGTAACAATATAATAAACTGGTGACGGGGAGGCATAGATCTGTACATGTCCCATGACAAGTTACAAATATCAAGAAAAAAGTGCACACAACCACCACTAATATAGTCAAAACAAACAYTAAGCATCACAGTTTAAAAAAGGACTGATTTAGTACATTCATAGTATTGTGGTATCTGAAGCCTCTCCCTCAAATTCTTGGCTCCAGTCAAAGTTGATTTCTGTGCAAAAAAAGATTCTAATGCTTACCTCCACATACTGTATTTTTGCACAGGCATCAAGGACTTTATCCCACAGTTAAGAAATTTCACCAAAATGCTTTAAAACAATGTGAGAATTACTACGCAGAAGCTATTCCCCAACAGAATAATCARGATGCAGTGGAATTAAACTTGCACATTGCAAGTCTTCCTTTGGTAGTTTACCACAGGAAAGACCAACTTGTAAAGATTATGTTAATGAAATAACTTCAACAATGACTTGGCCTATCTCCTCCCCAAGATTACTTTAAAATTAGATTCTGACAAGAAGGTATCTCTGTGATAGGTCTTCTTGAGTGCGCCAACTTTACATTCAAAAAGGCCATGTAATTTATGATGGCTTCAGGCAAACATTAAAATACAGCATAAACATGAATGACAGAAAGTACAGAAATGCATGCTGAAGGAATGAAGTCTCTAGTCAGGATAYGTAGGAGGAAGACTCCCTTTTGAGCCATCTAATAGTCCTAATTTAAGAATCTCATATCTATCAACCTCTGTTCCATATTGAATAGTGTATTGTGCTAACTCCATCTCAGAGTGTTCAAGTTTTTGTACACAGACCCTTCCTCATAGCCATATAGTCTTTTCCTAGCCCATTTCCCCTCACAGTGCATCTTCCAGGCCTTCCACAAGAATGGGTCTCAACACTTCAAACATTGCTACCAGCAGTTACATACAGGCACAACTGTTAATTAAATACTGCATTTTCCAAACTGCAGAATCTTAACTATAGGTTGGGCAGCTGTATAGTAGTGCTGCTGTGCATGGAAAATTTATCACCAAAAACTCTGCTCATCAGTACTTTCCTTTATGTACTTCGTGATCCTCACACTACACGAAGAATCCTGAGCAGACAGCAGCACAACGAGCCATTACTCTCTTGGTTGTATTCCATCTTTGCTGTCACCTGGGAAGCCACCAGAAGACCCTGCCTGCACAAATACTGCTCCTGTGAAACTGCTCTTTCACAAATCACCTTTACACTTCAAAATCATGCGTTACCAGGTAATCTGGATTACACCACTTCTATTTGCTTTTTTCTGAATTACACAGAAAAAAATAATTCAACAATCTTTCCTTTTATTTAGCTAGCAGACAGAAAAAAGAAAACCAGAGGCTTCCAAAACAGTCCAAAATGAAAGAAGAGCTGAAATTGTCAAGCTGCAGAAGGAAATTATTTCTGTTTCTGCATTCCTCTAATAAATGAGACTTTATCAGAAAAAGTTTCTTATGACAGAAAGGTGGGGCAGGGAAAAAGTCAYACAACCCAGTGTTGCAGGGCTTGCTCAGAGAAGCAAAGCATTATTCCGTCTTCCTTTCAAGGAAAAGTATTTCATATACACAGGCTTCACACCCTTACAGCCAAAACACCTATTACATCAGTGAATTGCTGCAGAATGATTGTTCTTCATGAAAAGGAGAATGCCTGCTATAGTCAGCAAGAAGCACAAGTAYTCTAGGCAGCCTGTAGTATTTACAGTAATGGGGCCAAGAGCTGTAGCAAACTGCAAAACCTCAAAGTGGCAAGTTATTCTAGCAGTAGCAAGTACTACAGGCCAAAACGTGATAAACACATCACATACATTAGTCATCTTGACAGTTTCTTATGCCCACAAGCCTCATGAGTTCAGTGCATTAACACATTGGGTAGCAGTGACAGTATTTTAACTGTGCATAGCTATACATTTTAAGGCAGTTTACTGGCAAGGTATATTTCTGGCCAGGAATTACTTCAGAATTTTACAGGATTCTAAATGAGCAAGCAACATGTGATRTTCAAAAATGAACTCAGTATCTGTAAGCAAGCTTAACAAAGGTGCAAGGTAAGTATTACCAGGTAATTCTTAATGCAGTAGAAGAGTATGCACTGTCACAGTGCTTTCTATATCAAAGAAATCATTTCTGCCTTGCAACAGTTCGTTATTCTTTTGTTGATTATAGAAGTGCTAACACAACTGAAACATTTCAAATATATTAGTCACTTGCACTTCTCAAACTGCAGTGTCCATATTCTGCAAGTACTCAGATCTTAAAGTGACATGCTGCACATAACTGCTTTCAAGAAGTCGAGAGTCAAGCCAAATTTCCGTCACCTTTAGCTTCCCACAAGCAAACAGTACCTCACACTCCAGGCTATGTAACAAGAACAATTTACAGKGCCAGACTTGGCCTGGAAACCAGAGGTCTGTGCTGCCTCAACTCCTGCACTGATAAGGAACGGACAGCCTTCACCAATTCAAAAATGAAACCCAAATGCCGGAGAGGTTTGGGCTTTGTTATTGGTTGGGTTTGGGTTTTTTAGGATAGGCTCGCGTCAAGTAAGTATTTTGCCTTTTATAGTTCATACACTTAAAATAGGAGTTTCCTAGGCAGCAAAAAACCACACAGCGTATCAGAGCCATCTGTGAGGCGTTTCGGGGCGGGTTATGAACAGCAGCAACTACCGCGCTCTACTGCACTTTAATGTGATGCCGCTCCTCAGGTGGGCAAAGGCTTCTTCGCTCCGAGMCGGTGAGCAACCCGCTGGTGGGACAACTCACTGCTCCGCAGCACGGCTCTCCCGGYTCCTTCGCCGGCCGGGGCAGGCAAACACGAAGGCGGCTTCCAGGCGGGAGCCGCAGAGGTCCAGACAGCCTTCCAACTTAACCCCTTGCCGGGCCCCGCCGCCGCGCCGGCCAGTCCTCACGGGCCAGGGGCCGAGACACCTGTCCGCGACAGCCCGGGCCGGGCGGGCGCGGCCGGACTCCCAAGTTGGCCCCGGCGGCCAAAGTCGCTCCCGGGAGAAGGCGCCGAGGAGGCGGGCCGGCCGCCACTACTCACCCGCACCAGGTTGCTGACAGCGGCCTGCACGGCCGACACGGGGGCGGTGAGGTCCGGGATAGCCTTTCCGTCCACCTCCCCCTCCTCGTGCATGATGACCAGATGGGAGATCTGCTGGGCCACCGGCTCCAGGATGCTCTCGATGGTGCGCGTGTGGAAGACGGGCATGGCGGCGGCGGGGTGGGGGGCCGGGGCCCGAACTCAGCACAAACTCCTGGCAAACTCTGTCCCCGCGGGCTAGCGCCCCACAGAGAAAGCCGCGGCCTCCGCGCCAAGAGGAAACGGAGGAAGAAGAGGAAACCAAAGGACCACTCGGACCTCCCCTCGCCCCAGAGCGGAGTACGGCACACGGAGAAGGGGCCGCCGGCTCAGACTCGCGGAGGCGGGACTCGAACTCGCTGCCCTCGTGCCACCCGCTGGCAGAGCCCACCSCACTGGCGCCGCTCCTCAGCCAGGCGGCGGCTTTTCAACCGCCACAGCCCGCCCCTCCCGCGGCTCCCGCCCCCGGCCGCCTCGCCCAATGGCGGAGCCGGGATCGCCTTTCCCAGTGGCGCAACGCCGCGTCCATCAACATTCCAGAGCCTCCTTTCCCCTCCGCCCCCTGCCTTTYCCGCACCACACGCCTTCCCAACCAAGCTTGGTTGCGCGGGCGCTAGTTTCCCAGAGTCGAGATGACGTCAGACATTCTGGTGTCCATATAAGGAGACGATTAATGCCAGAGCGCTGGGATAACGGGGGACGAGGGCGGCGGGATTCCTGCGCCACGCCCGCCGCCGGCCCAAGTTCGCTCCGTTGGGCTAAGGCGGAGCGTGACCGAGCGGGCGGCTGTGTAGAGCTGGTGCTGGGGCGGGGGTGGCCGAGGGGAGGCAGCGCTCCTGGCCGGACCCGCTGTCCCCGGGCGTTACTTAGGGCGCGCCCCTTGGTGCGGGTCGTGCGCTCTCCCCGCAGCGGGCCCGGCGCGGCCCGCCCTGGGCGCGGCCCCAACCGCTTCCGCCCCCGCTGAGGAAAAGTGGCGAGAGGCTGCGGGCGCCACTTCTCGCCCGCGCCCCGCCTCAGGTGGGAAGGGCTG